TATGGTAGGTTTATTTTAACGTATAGAGACAGACAGTGCTTCTTCTTGAGCCACTCCTTTGTTGCCTTGGTGGTATGTTTCGGGTCATTGACATGCTGGAAGACCCATCCATGAACATCTTCAGTGTTCTGGCTGAAGATTTTACAGTACATGGCCCCGTCCATTTGCCCCTCAATGCGGTGAAGTCGTCCTGTACCCTTAACAGAAAAACAGCCCCAAAGCATAATGTTTCCACCTCCTTGCTTGACTGTAGGGATGGTGTTCTTGGGGTCATAGTCAGCATTTCTCTCCCTCCAAACACGGCGAGTCAAGTTCATGCCAAAGAGCTCAATTTTGGTCTCATCTGACCACAGCACTTTCTCCCAAGCCTTCTCTGAATCATTTAGATGTTCTTTGGCAAACTTTAAACAGGCCTGTACATGTGCCTTCTTGAGCAGGGGGGTCTTGCGGACGCTGCAGTATTTCAGTCCATTGCAGCGCAGTGTGTTACCAATGTTTTGCTTGGTGACTGTGGTCCCAACAGCCTTAAGATCATTAACAAGCTCCTCCCGTGTAGTTCAGGGCTGATCCCTCACCTTTCACATGATCATCCTTACCCCATGAGGCAAGATCTTGCACAGAGCTCCAGACCGAGGCCGATTGATGGTTGTTTTGTATTTCTTCCATTTCCGAATATTCGCACCAACAGTTGTCTCCTTCTCACCAAGCTTCTTGCTGATGGTCTTGTAGCCCATTCCAGCCTTGTGCAGATCTACAGTCTTGTCTCTGACATCCTTTGACAGCTCTTTGGTCTTGCCCATGGTGGTGGGAGAGGTTGAAATGAAAGATACAGATTGTGTGGACAGGTGTCATACACCTAACGAGTTGACATTAGGAGTAACTTCTTAAAGTAACAGGACTAATCTGTGTTCAATATGGGCACATAACCAATCTATGAGAGCCAGAATTCTTGCTGGTTGATAGGGGATCAAATACTTATTTCACTCACTGAAATGCAAATCAATACCCATTGTTGTGCCAATGATCCACGACCATCACCTCATGTTGCAGCATGAAAATGCACGGCTCCATGTTGCAAGGATCTGTACACAATTCCTGGAAGCTGCAAACATCCCAGTTCTTGCATGGCCAGCATACAGACCGGACATGTCACCCATTGAGCATGTTTGGGATGCTCTGGATCGGCATATACGACCGCGTGTTCCAGTTCCTGCCAATATCCAGCAACTTCGCACAGCCATTGAAGAGGAGCGGACCAAAACATACCATAAAAATCACAGACCCTTCATTTCTTTGTTAGTGGGCAAACTTACAAAATTAGCAGGGGATCAAATAAATATTTTCCCCACTGTATCCCATTAATACCATTTATATTATATGTCTATTTCACTATATGTAGTTCATTTTTTATTTAATTTATTGATTGATTGATTTGAATTTACTTCTTATTAAAGCATTTACAACCCATATACTGTACAAACAAGATAGTCCTACAGTATATCACTGCTGAAAAGACCAGTTCATCAATTATTGCTGGTCTGATTTCCATCCAAAAAGTATATTTTAATTTAACTTTCTTGTGCCCCTTTTATCTATTTATTAATTATCATCAATGTAATCCACTTTTTGTAATTGCCTGTAATGCACTTGTTTGTGCTATAATGTCTGAAAGGTATTATACAAACAATGTTAATATTATGAATTTACTTTCTGATCCAGGCTGGTTTATGCTGATTTAGTGCTGGTATTAAATTTTTTTTGTGAACACAGTACCATAATACTACAATATTTTGTGTACATGTATCATGCTAGTACTATCATGCAGGCAAACTTTGAAGAAACTTATTTTACTTAAATAGCTATAAATATACAGTAAAAAAAAAACTAATTTGTGTCATTCATTTTTCGTATTTCATAGAAAACAGTAATAACCCTAACCCTGTAAAATAGTAATATAAATAATCGGTCTGTCTACATTTTTGACTGGTAATAGAAAAGCAAAGCAAAAAAAATAAATAATTGTAACAGAAAATTCATATAAAACCTAAATTAAGTGTGCATATCATATCATAATACTAAATTAAATGGAATAATATCACTGTCACAAAAGACCAATTCTTCAGCATGCAGTAAATGCCCCTTACCTAAAGAGGTAGTACTGTGCTTTATTGGGGTTATATTCCAGAGCGGTGTTAATTTTCCCCAGTGCATCTGAAAGCTCTCCCTTCAATGCCTTATCAACAGCTGCCTGATGGGAATCATCCGCTGCTTCCTTCAGCTTCTTCAGCAGTGCCTGTGCCTCTGGACAGCACGGTTTCAGCCTGAGTGCTGACCTCAAGTCATGATAGCACAGAGTCATCTGAGGAGACACGCAGTCCTCTTACCTGTTTATTACAGTCACTTGAAGGGAAATGTTTTTCTGAAGGCTGTGAATGATGGTCTGACCTGATTGAGCTGGTGGTGAAGGCGAGCTCTCAGAGTGAAGAGGTCTGCTGACTGGCCGTCCGTCTCCAGCCAATTATTGACCAACCGAAGACAGTCAGAGTAACGGCCAAGAGCGGTCAGACAAGCCAAACTATGAATACATATACAACAATTATGGAAAATTATGATCTCATGGTTTCCACGGTAGCCCAAAACTCTTTTTGAACACTTTTTAACACTTACGTCACACTTAAAAATGCCTGTATTGCATTGCATTGGATCCAAAATATCAAATCAAGTGTCATCAGCAACAAAACTAAAAGACTAACTGCACTTTTCTAGCCAATATCTTTTAACACTTTCAGACTGTTGAGGGTCATTTTGACCCTTTTTAGACCGACTTTTCAGCCTTTTTCAGATTTGTATCATCGTTATCCACATACATTTTAATCGTGATCTTGATATGATATTGTTTATCGCCTGGCGCTAATTCTGGCTATTTATAGAATGTGCTTGTGTGTCCAAATATACTTTTTTTGCTCATTTTGAACAATATGTCTATTGTTTTAATATTTTTTTCAATAATGTAGTTCTTTAATTAAATTGTTTAATTATTTTTCATGAAAAGTGTGAGTGACATTGAGCTATATTTTAAACTATATTTCTTAAAAAAAATAAATGCTACTTTAAACATACACATATTTTAAAATGTGGCTTGATTGTCCAAATCCATTTTGAGTTAGCTTTAATTCAGTAATAACTTGGGAATTATATGAATAATATGTTGCATTTAGTTAAATCCTGCACACACACAATGGAAATAAAAAAAAAAAGCAACAGCACTCAATAATGTGAACAACAGTTGGTGATGATAGTTAGGTGAAGAGAGAGCATGTAGCGCCACCTAGTGGTATTTTGGTGTTAACATGATGCTAGTTTAGCTAGTAGTTCAGACACATGTAGACTTCAAATCTCTTTGAAGGGCACTTAAATATCTGGTACAGTCTGCACTGACCTTCTAATGTGATATGGGCGAAAGGAGGGTTTGAGTTCTGCAGCTTTTGTGAAAGACTCCAGAGCCTCCAGAAACTTCCCTAAATCAAAACAACACTGGCCCTATAAGGTCAGTTAGAACATACACAGATATGTGGTCATTAACAATGAATAACAGCAGAGGACCATATGTGATAAATTCATGCACATTTTATTGCAGGGAAAATTTGCATTTCAACTATGCAAATAAATATTAATAAAATGGGCATTAGGGGTAAAGATCAAAAGGGCAAAAAGAAAAAAAACAACAGTCATAATTCTAATGCAAACTTAATGTTTTATAAATGTGTTAATGAATAGATACATTTCAAAACACAAACAGCAAAGGCGATGCCATTTGTAATATTTCAAGCTCATAATCTAGTTTCTGTCATCTGTGAATAAATTAATTGTTGTACCTGCAGGTAGTAGATGAAGGCAAGTTGTCGAGGGTAGGCCTCAGTTTGGGGATCCAGACTGCAGGCATGTTTGTAATCTAGTGCTGCAGATTGGAAGTCACACAGCTGAAGATATGCTTCTGCTCGTTGGACATAAAACTTAGTCTGCAGGTGGGGAGAATATTAAATAAGATGAATATTTAGAGCCAAATAATTATGGAGTACATATACAATCCATTGCCTGGCCTTTACCTGATGTGGCTGGAGTAGAATGGCCTTTGAGAAACAGGACACAGCCTTGTCAAAGTGAGACTGTGACATGGCACCAACACCTGCTTCATAACTAGACACATGTGCACATGTGTAAATATGCTTCTCAGTTAGACTCTGTAGTATTGTTTATAAACATCTGTTCACTTACTGTTTCTCTGTCTTTTCTTTTATTATGCGCTCCCCATACATATCCGGTTTCTTTTTCTGGAAAATGAGAAATACAGATTTTTGTATAAATAAATATATTCGAATACTTATTATTTCCTCGTTCTGCTTGCTTGAAAGACATGACCAGGAATTATTCTTACTTCTGAGAGCACATGGACATTTTCAACTGCATGAATATGTACTAAACTGTTTCATCTAATCTCTCTCTCTCTCACACACACACACACACACACACAGAGCAAGAAATGTTGCACACATGTAAAATACGAACCTCGGCACAGCCAACAGGTGGATTCATATTGACAACAGATGTGCATCAGTAAAAGTTTAAGTCTATAAAAGCACGTAAAGAAAATGAAAAACCTCCAGAGTCCTCACGTTTATTTCCCACAACCAAAACAAATCAACAAACAGTGCAGACCCTGAAACTAAAAGCACTTTTGAAAACATTTAGTAACTATGGGAACAGTTAAATGGCAAAAGAAGAGCAACGGCTGTATGTAGAAATGTGTTTTTAATAAACATCTTTTAAAATACATTTAGTGCAAAGTGACAATTTTATAAAATGAATTTAAAAGCACAATGTTAGATCAAATGTTTAAAAAAAATAATAGGCAATAAATATTTTGTGTGCATTCTTGTATGCAAGCACAAAGGAATAATAACCGACTTTTATTTTGAAATCGCAACGTCTTTGGTCAGCAGGTATGTATTACTGTCAGCTGACAACAAGTGAATAAAGCGTTTTTCCTCGGGATGCTGATAAACAAAGCCTTTGATACTTCGCTGGCTGAGCTTATGTATGTTTTGTCAGTTGTAACGTATGACATAACAGCACAGTTTGTGTGTGGCGATTATCTATGAAGTGCTTGATTCTCGTTTGTGAGAGGAGACGCTATGGATGAGTATGAGGAGACCAGACCACTGTTGGTCAACGATGAGCAGACAGACGAGGACAGATCAGAGCAGGACTCCTATCTGGAGTAAGTGTGAATTTATGGTCACTTTTATGCAACTTATGATGGTATTACATGCTACTCCATGGTGCTTCAAAGAACACGGTGTATATCCACAACGAAGAATCATTACATTTTGTCAACAGAATGAGTTGACAATGACTTAACATACAGTGTTCCTGTACTCAAGGAAAACCTGTTTAACACGAATGCTAACCTTATCCATAGCTGATTTGTGTGTAACTACTTTTGCTCGACAGTAAAGTTAAGAATGGGAAGCTGTATATTGCCACATTCGCAGCAGTTCTGGGACCCCTGAGTTTTGGGTTTGTCCTGGGTTATAGCTCTCCTGCCATACCTGAACTCAGCAAAATCCAAGACCCACGACTGCAGCTCAGCACAGAGGAAGCTTCCTGGTTTGGGGTATGTGAATGCTTTAGATCCTGCTTTTTTTTCAGGTAAATGCTTATCATTTTTAGTTCCTCAGAACTTACAATGCCATTAGTTTCTGAGTTGGAGGATGTTTAAATACCAAAATCCAAAGTTAGTTGTCCGCTAAAAGTTTAGCAAAGATGCTGATGTCAACGGAACAACATTATGATTCTCTGTCTGATGCCATTAGTTTCTGAGTTGGAGGATGTTTAAATACCAAAATCCAAAGTTAGTTGTCCGCTAAAAAAAGTTTAGCAAAGATGCTGATGTCAACGGAACAACATTATGATTCTCTGTCTTATAGTCCGTGGTGACCATTGGTGCAGCTCTTGGGGGTCTCCTTGGAGGATGGATTGTCGAGAAGATTGGACGAAAATTGAGCCTTATGTTTTGTGCATTACCCTTCATCTGTGGGTTTACCATCATTATCGCTGCTCAGAACCACTGGATGTTATATGTGGGCAGAGTGCTCACTGGTCTAGCCAGTGGAGTGACTTCTCTTGTTGTACCTGTAAGTATTACCAGTGTATTGCTGGAAGTAAAAATCCCAGATTTTCTCTATAGAGGAATTGATTTTTAACAATAAATGCTAAACCTTAAGACCTACTGTGAGCAGTCAGGTTGTATTTGCTTTTGTTGAAACCATCAGTCTGCATTGTTTGAATTGTTTTAAAATATTCATGTTTAACAGCAAAATTCCTGGTAAAAACAAGATTCTGCAAAGAAGTCTCCCACAATCAGAATCATGGGCTCTTTAGCGTCCACCTTCTTGCATGAAGCACAGCAGATGACATAACAGTGTCAGTCTCCTTATGCTCCTAAACTCCTGAAATATTTGTATATACATAGGTATATTTTGCAATAAGCTTAAATAAATATTGTTTCTATATATAATCAACACCTTTAAATGAATCGTTTTATATTTCTCCATCATTTAATTGGGTTATGTCATACGCAGTGCTTCGTGGTAATGTGGTTCTTTGTCTCACTACAGTTGTTCATTTCACAGTCTTGTACCTTTTGACCAATTTTCAAATAATTTTTTTGCTTCAAGTCTAATTTTGTCATTGTTATTCACTTCATAGTTGGTTGGTTTGGTTCCTTTCATGACTTATAGTCCTTCAACAAAGTTTTTAAAACTCCTATGGGGGGAAAAAATGGGGAAAATGCTCTCAGAAATTATTGTTGTTATTGTAGAACTGCAGACCGTCGTTAACAATTGAAATTCTGTGAACCATGTTTTTAACCAAATTTTGGCAATTTAATTCAACAGAACGTTATCCATTTGACTTTGCTCTCCATTTCTGCAGCTCTACATCTCTGAAACGGCTCATGAGCGTGTTAGGGGAACTATGGGCTCGTGCGTGCAACTTATGGTTGTGATAGGCATTATGGGAGCCTATATAACAGGTATTAGCCCTCATTTTAAACTTGTGACTGAACTGTGACACAAGTTATGACACTTGAGTCCCTTTGAGAGTAAATAGAGCTGCTCTACTCTCAGTTAGCTGTATGAGATGATTGTTAATGTTTAATCGGAGGACACATTTCAACCTTCTTTAATTACAGTGAGATCTTACACATACTGTATACTGTCTCTTTTCCAGTGCATCCCTGCACTCCAGTACTTTATTTGTTCTTTGAAATCAGATCAGATTTGTGTGAATGCCTCCCTAATTTGTGCTGGCGAGAATCCTTATGAAAGACTTTCAGTATTGCATTAATGGCTAGGTCAATTTAGCTGAGGAATGTCCCTCTTAAAAATACACAGAGCCTGCATTGTACATTGCTCTATCTGGGCTGTGTTTACATGAAGAGTATGAAAACCTGACCCATTCTGTGTGATCAGTAGTAGTATACTGTATACCTTAAAAGTACCTCCAGTAATTTATAGTAGTATTTATACAATGCCATGAGGGTGAGTAAATGATAACAGAATTCATTTTGTGGCAAACTATCACTTTAAATAATGCAATTTTTTTTTCAAGGTTTGTTCCTGGACTGGCGATGGTTAGCAATTGCATCCTCTATCCCTCCCACAATAATGCTGGTGTGTATGTGCTTCATGCCGGAGACACCACGATTCCTGCTCTCCCAAGGGAAAAGGAAAGAGGCAGAGGAGGCCCTGCGGTTCCTCAGGGGCCCTGATGCCCCGGCAGAGTGGGAGTGTGCTAGAATAGAAGAGGCCTACAACAATGAAGTTAGACATCACAAATTTCTCATTTCACATCTCAAAGTTCAAAGCTCTCAATTTTAGTATTACATTTTGATCTGCAGTTCAAGGTTAAAGTCAATGTGAAATTTCTAATTTAACATTTTTGAGTGAACTGGATATTCAATGATGAAACAGTTCACCAAAAAGATGAAAATTCTGTCATCATTTACTCATGTCTTACTGAATTGCTTCATGTCGTTCCAAATCCATTAGACTTTTCATTCTTTTTTTGAAACGCAAATTAATATATTTTTCATGATGATTTATATCCCTCCAATGAAAGTATTCCACAAAAAATGATTCAAAATCCACGATTTGAGTGGCATAATCCAAGAGACATGACCACTTTATATGACAAATACGTTTAATTTAGGCTTTTATTTATATATAAACATTGAACAATGCACATATATAAAGCTCTTCAAATATGGTAAACGGAAGCGCAGCCATTCTTGCTTGACGAACAAACTTTATTCGTTCTTGTGGACCATGTTTATATGTGGAAAAAAACTATTGAAAATTTTTTTAAATTATATATTCGTAATATAAAAAGTCTCTTCAGAATACTTGTATTAAATCTTATAAGTTATAAGACTTATAACTTTATAAGTCTTTATGAACTTTTTAAAGCTTTAATTTTTTGGTTGTGTGGACTTTCAGTGGAGAAACTGAAATCTCTCAGGTTTCAAAAAAAATATCTTGATTTGTGTTTCGTAGAGGAGCGAAAGTCTTGGAGCACCATGAGGGTGAGTGAATGATGACAGAATTTTGATTTTTGGGTGAACCATCTCAAATTGTATCCAACAGGAACTGAATTGAATGATTAAATGTGGGTGTTACCAACCAGGGTTTAAGGTTTTTTTATTTAATTAATAAATTCTGTGTACAACTGTATACAAGTCACTAAATTTGACATGTGACTGATTAAAGGAGCAAAGCTTCAGTCTGGCGGATCTAAAGGACCCTGGTGTCTATAAGCCTTTAGGCATAGGCATTATGATGATGCTTCTCCAGCAATTAACCGGCATTAATGCCATCATGTTTTACGCAGAGACAATCTTCGAGCAGGCCCATTTCAAAGTGAGTTTTGTTGATGAAGTTCATTCATTCAGCTTTTTTTATGCTAAATGCACACTGTAATGTTCTTTATTTTCCACCACAGAGCAGCGATGTGGCCACTGTTATTGTTGCAGCCACACAGGTGGTCTTCACTGCAATTGCTGCTGCTATCATGGACAAGGCTGGGCGGAAAATTCTCCTCATCTTGTCTGGTAGCAACATCATTAATAAACTGATATATTTGCACGGTAACACTTTACTTATAGCCTTTGTGTATAATGCATTATAAAAGTAGTTTTAATGCATTAATTATGCCTTGTATTGCACCTTATAATGCATTGTACAGTCTAATGAATAATTGTAACCACAGTTGAAACATTATAACACTTATCAATTCATTGTTACACTATGCATTTTAAATTTGTTTACAATTATTTACGACAAGATATAATGTATTACAAAGCACATTATGAATCATTTTAACGCATTATACCCTTTAATAACCCTTTATAATGTATTATACATAAAGGCTTTAAGTAAAGTGTTACCATTTGCACTACTGTTTTTGGAAAAAACTGTAAATGGATTGTCCTTAATTTTGTGCCCCTCCACAAGGTGTCACCATGTGTGTTAGTGAAGCAGTGTTTGGAGTATATTTCAAGTTGACTGTGAAGCATAATAACTCCTCACTGACGAGTGTATTATTAGACGCCCAGGGTTCTCTGGCAGAGCAGCCTCCTACAGACCTGGCCTGGCTGGCTGTGGGAAGCATGGGCCTTTTCATTGCAGGTAAGATGAAATGTATTTCACTGAATCTTACCATAGAACAAGAAATATTTAGCAACTGTACTAAGATTTCCTGCTGTATGTGTTCAAGTTAAATTTATTTATTTAGCACTTTATACAATACAGATTGTTTAAAAGCAGCTTTGCAGTAATAAACAGGAAAAAAGGGTACAGAAGACAATAGTGTCATTTCAATTTAGTTCAGTGTTGCTTCTGTTCAGTTCAAAAACTGTTAATGTTGAAAAAGTTCATTAATTATGAAACGATTTCAATTCTGCTATAAGCAGCTCCACAGAAGACAATAGTGTCATTGTCCAACTCAATTTAGTTCAAATATAAAGATCTATAAAATAATAGTTGTAATCAGAATTTATGTCCATCCAGATACCAATTATTTTACAGATGCAGACTGACTTAAAGAAAAAACAAAATATACAGTGATGTCTAGTTTTCACTGTGTTGCTGTACTTGAGGTTTTGTCCAGTTCCTATTTTTGGTGAAATATCAAGTTCAGTCATGAAACTGTAAATGGCACAGGCTGATTGACCACATAATTTCACGCATGGCATAAGCTTTTTGGCCTCTGCTGATTCTGCAGCCAATGTTCAACATTTAAATAATCTGGTTCAGTGTTCACTGCAAGCTGGTTCCCTCTAAAACACTCCAGCTCCACCTGTCTAGATCTGCTATCAGATTTATATATGCCTATTCATGCAGCAGCTGCAGCATATCTTACATGTTCACAGCAGCGTGCCTTTGCATTTATTGGCAGTAGCAAGCCGGTACTTGCTCTGCAGCAATAGCAGCAGCACATTTCGCAGATTTATTCCACCAAGACCAAATACATTATCATTGTCATATCGATTAACATGCTAAAACTATTCCAAGATTTGTCATAATTGAAATGTGAATAAAAGGGTCAGTAAATAGACTGTAGACTATCATAAATATGTGTTAATCAGGTTTTGCTCTTGGCTGGGGTCCTACTCCTTGGCTGGTGATGTCCGAGATTTTTCCTACCCGAGTGAGGGGATTGGGCAGTGCTCTGTGTGTGCTTACCAACTGGACCTGTGCTTTCATTGTCACCAAGACCTTCCAGAACCTCATGGTGAGCTGACGGTCATGTATTTTCCCCAGAAACTTTCTAGGTTTAACAAAAAGGTCTAATACAGGATTAATAATGTTTCTTTTTAGGATGCCATAACCAGCGCAGGGACATTCTGGATGTTCTCTGGACTCTGTGCTCTCAATGTCATCTTCACTGCTATTTTTGTCCCTGAGACCAAAGGCAAAACTCTGGAGGAGATTCAAGCCTGTTTTAAGGGGACTTATCAGCGCTAGACAAGTTTTTTTCCTTAGGGACAATACCAACATTTTAAAGTGCCCCATTATGCCATTTTTACTGTTTCTAATAGAGATGCACCGATTGCAATTTTCTTGGCCGATTCCGATTTTTTGTTAGTGTGATCTGCCGATTCCGATTTTCTTTCTAAGAACTATAATTGACAGCATATACAAACAAAAATCTACTTTTCTTCAACGCAAAGTTTTATTTTCATAAAAAAAAACAAGTAAAAAGTCAGTAATAAAATAAGAACAATTAAAAAAAATTGCAAACAACAGCACAAATAAATGCAATAGAATAGAGAGAGCTATGAAACTAAGTTTTTCAGGTCAAGTTTTTATTCAGGTAAGAAATACTACAGAAATTAACGTAATCAAATGTAAAATAACACATCCAGTGTTATTTTCCATTTGATTACTTTAATTTCTGTAGTTTTCGTTGTAAAAATTAAATACAGATTAATGCTTACCATTAAAGTTATAAAACGTATTCAGTCAAGAGCAGAAAGTGATTTTCTTTGTCTTTTGTTCTTGGATTAACATGATGGACAGCAGCAGGAATATTGGACTGCGGTCCCTTTAAGAGTTTATCCACGGACCCAATGTACTGTTACACAACATGAGTTCTCTTTCTCAACTATTTAAAGCTGCAGTCCGTAAGTTTTGCCTCTTTGTCACCATCTCTGTTTGAAAACCTGGAATTGCAGCTGTGTGCGGAATTATCTAGCTTGCGTGGGTTGTGAGTCGGCACGGGTCCAGCGTGGATGAATCTAATGTTCTGAAGAGATTCTCTTACAATAGGATTACATGCATGCAAGGTCAGGGTTAGGGTTAACTTTAAATATCAAGCCGCAAAATGAACGGTTTTGTTCAGCTAAAAATAGCTGGACGGAGTAGAAGCAGATGAAACCGGACGCCAAACCCATATAATTTACAAATGGCCCATTTTTACGACAAGAAAAAGGTGGATAGAAAATATAAACATCTATTATTTATCATACTTGCAGGTTGTGATTCAGTGGAGCAGCTGGTCCAAATAAACAGGATACTGATCCATCTTTCAACAGCAAGCGTTTTGTGAATCCGGCGTTGAACTTCCCGAGATTAGAGAAGCAGTCAGCAGTAGAATGACGTGTTCTAACGAAGTTGTTTGCGGCCGGTGTTGTGCCGAATTCTGCACCCCTGCCAGATTATGCACCCCCTTGTTGAAGTCGCTACCTGATTGCCTAATCCCAACCCCACCCCTAATCCTAACCCCTCCCCCACACCTACTCCTAAACCTACCAATACTAGGGGGTGCATAATTTAGCAGGGTGCAAATTTCGGCACTACACCGGCCAACGTAGAACATAGGCGCGCATTATGCAAATGTGTTACCCCGTGACATGTAGCCGTCACGGAAATGGGATTCGAATTACTAACGACTCGTTTCAGCTGTTCAGAGTCGATTCTTTATTTTGGGAGACAGTAACTTTATTTATCGTGCAATTTCAGCTTTACAACTTTGCAGATCGTTTACATTCACATGATACAGCTACATTAAACACTGCATGAAAGGCAATATTGAAAATGGCATAATAGGGGCACTTGAAACAAACTAGTTGCATTGCTAGTATAATGTGCAAAATAATGTAAAAGTTCTCAGATCAAATATGTGTTTGATACTTTCTTAATGTGATTTGTCATTGAATTAGCACAAATAGTGGCTGATGTGACATGGTTTCAGGCAGTGTTCACAAATTTTTAATATGACTTGTTGTTTTTTACTGTTACTGTTGATGCTATAAAAAAAATGAGACACGATGTAAAATCAGTTTAACTTGTTTGCAGGTCGTAGGAAAGCAGTTTTTTGAAAAGGGTCTGAATATAATGTGCATTAACACCTATTCTTTTGACACATGCAAAGTTTATATAAGATTCTTTAGTTTGCAGTTTCTCAGCAATTTCCTCTGCATCAAGACTGTAGCTTGGGTTACATTTGAATTAGAATCATCAAATCTCAATCAATCTCAAAGATTACAATATGAAATGTTGAATTTAAAATGAAACTCATCGTAATATTGATATTGTAAGAAAGGTAAAATAAGCTATGTTTAATGAACTGCATTGGTGACTGCATACTTCTTTCTGACCTCACCTGTTATAACTAATTTTTTTCATTTAACAAAGAAGTTGAACCAAATATGATATTAATGCTAATTCATTTAAAATGCATGGTTACTAAAGAACATTATTGTTTGCTTCATTCAGAAAGTGAGCAAAATTAAACTGAAGTCTCAAAGGTGAAGTCATATGTTGAATTGTGGTACTGAGTCAGTAAAGTATTACGCATTGTTCTGTAATAATGACAGGGATGATGAATTATGTGCCAAATGAAGTGATATACCAAATAATCAAGTTTATTAAAGATTAATTTTGTAAAACTGTATTTCTAATATGCTGGTGAATAGGCCTACAGATAAAATGAACAATCTCAACATTCTAAATAAATATCACGTGACTATTATTTTTCATAATAAATTACTTTTATCAAAATGTGTGCCATCTGTTACTAGATAATGGTTATAAATAATTTAAATAGCTAGCTGCTGTATTTAATATCAAGTTCTCTTCAGTGGAAATGGAAATGAAATATAGCAGCATGCAGCAATTAAGGGGCCAAGCACAGCAGAGAATGAGGAGCAAGCATGGCAGGGAGGATAAGACCAAAGGCAACAATGAGTATTAAGGATATTTTATGGTGATTTTACTCAAACTGGCTGAAAAATCATAAATTCAATCATTAATGATTTAATGTTTTATCAATTTTGACCAATAGGTGGCAGAGGCAAAACTGTTTCCAAGCTATTAGCATTTTTTTATTTCATTATTAATGGTTAATCACTTTTGACCAATAGGTGGAGTTGTTCCCAAATTAATGTGGTGTGATCAGTGTGAGGTGACAATGACCCAAAGATTGATGTCATTATGCCAAAGCTTTGCAGAGATGCAGTTTGGTATCATGTCATCAATATACAAAAATGGTTTTGTCTTATCAACATGAAATCCATAACATCTTGTCGGCACAATCTGAAGAAGAATTTGAAGCCGAATTTGGTGAAAATCTGACAAGATCTTTAAAGGGGTCATCGAATGGCCATTTTTCACAAGTTGATATGATTCTTTAGGGTCTTAATGAAAAGTCTATAACATACTTTGGTTAAAATTTCTCAATGGTAGTGTAAAAACACCCTTTTAACCCTGTCAAAAACAACTATTTTCAGAGCAAGCCGTTTTGTTGCATTTCGTTTTAAATGCTAAAATAAATTCAATCATTAATAATGATTTAATGTTTTATCAATTTTGACCAATAGGTGGCAGAGGCAAAACTGTTTCCAAGCTATTAGCATTTTTTTATTTCATTATTAATGGTTAATCACTTTTGACCAATAGGTGGAGTTGTTTCCAAATTAATGTGGTGTGATCAGTGTGAGGTGACAATGACCCAAAGATTGATGTCATTATGCCAAAGCTTTGCAGAGATGCAGTTTGGTATCATGTCATCAATATACAAAAATGGTTTTGTCTATCAACATGAAATCCATAACATTTTGTCGGCACAATCTGAAGAAGAATTTGAAGCCGAATTTGGTGAAAATCTGACAAGATCGTTAAAGGGGTCATCGAATGGCCATTTTTCACAAGTTGATATGATTCTTTAGGGTCTTAATGAAAAGTCTATAACATACTTTGGTTAAAATTTCTCAATGGTAGTGTAAAAACACCCTTTTAACCCTGTCAAAAACAACTATTTTCAGAGCAAGCCGTTTTGTTGCATTTCGTTTTAAATGCTAATGAGCTCTGCTCACCCCGCCCCTCTCTTCCGTGGGGTGATGAGCAGACTGTAAACTTTAGCCACAAAACTTGCTAACTAGCACATTAATAGGAAAGGTGATTTGCAAAGATTCATAAAAATCCCTTATACTCAGCACGTCTTCAGCGGCTCAGATGTCAGGAGTAAATGATGATTGCCATGTTCATTATTACATGAACAACAAAACACCTCAGTCTCTTAATTAGAGACATTCTTGTCTTCCCCTGCACCGAAGTCGACACAATGGCAGACAGCTCACAGCTCACTCAGGGACGGGTCTAAGGTAAGACGGCCTTGTCAATCAACTATCGTGTGAGGGGCCAGTGCAGAACTACATCATTCTGCCAGGAATCTCAACAGCCTGATTTAAATGATTTTTATCATTATAGGGTGGATGTGTACACACACTTCCAACACACATTTATGTTAAAAACATGTAAAAGTTAATTTCGCATCCATACAAATGAAAACGGCAGACAACGGTATCTATGTTAGGGCAACTATGGATAAATTCGTATCTATGTTCTTCGCATGACTTAAGGAATATATTGAGACCAGTTTCTTTACAATAAGGGAAAGGTGATTTGCAAAGATTCATAAAAATCCCTTATACTCAGCACGTCTTCAGTGGCTCAGATGTCAGGAGTAAATGATGATTGCCATGTTCATTATTACATGAACAACAAAACACCTCAATCTCTTAATTAGAGACATTCTTGTCTTCCCCTGCACCGGAGTCGACACAATGGCAGACAGCTCACAGCTCACTCAGGGACGGGTCTAAGGTAAGATGGCCTTGTCAATCAACTATCGTGTGAGGGGCCAGTGCAGAACTACATCATTCTGCCAGGAATCTCAACAGCCTGATTTAAATGATTTTTATCATTATAGGGTGGATGTGTACACACACTTCCAACACACATTTATGTTAAAAACATGTAAAAGTTAATTTCGCATCCATACAAATGAAAACGGCAGACAACGGTATCTATGTTAGGGCAACTATGGATAAATTCGTATCTATGTTCTTAGCATGACTTAAGGAATATATTGAGACCAGTTTCTTTACAATAAGCTAATTTAATCAAAAGTTGCTAGCGTTTTTTTGGGAAATTTCATTATAACTTGACTACAAGGTGGCACTGTCCCAAAACTTTTTGAGTACCGTCGGGTCATGGTGCCGAAGTCACGTATTGAGTTTCATAACATCACACCAATGAGTTCGTAAAATACAGCATTTTATGACAAAATTCAAAATGCCTGATGTCCAAAATGGCTGACATGGGAAAATTCATTAGACTCAGAATGTCACACCGAATCTAAAGAGACCTTGTGATTTTTGTCCAAACCGTTCAGAAAGTTAGAAGCAAAACACACAACAAATTTGGTTTGAATACACTAAAGCATTGCGGAGATATAGCCTCAAGCCCATTTTGGTGCTCTCTTTGTCAAATTCGTTCACATGTTAATTGAGAACGATTTGACTAATCAACTTGAATTCTTTAACTTTTTGCCAGCGTAGTCTGAAGATTTTGGTGAAAATCAGACAACTCGTCTTGGGCGATTTTTAAAAAGTAGGTTTTTTGAATAATTAAATATTGTAGATTTTAACATTTTGGTGTCCATTTGACTCTACATGAGACCAGGAGTCAGAGGGAAATTTTGCTTCTAAACTTTACTGTTCAAATGTTATTAGTATAAACATGAGTGCAACTTTGAGCTGTTAATGGCACTAGAGTGTTTGAGTTATGCCGAGTTCACACTGCACGATTTTCAAAGTCATCGGATCACCTTTGTTTTCACACTGCATGACTATCTGAGTCGCATTCAGTTGCTGCTGCGTTCACATTGCGCGATGGCTCGCCGACAGATGGTTACACACTGCATGACTTTACAATAGGAAGAATCGCCGACAACTCTGTCTGGTCCGCAAACTATATAACTCCTCCCCGAACTTCCCGCTGCCCTGTATCTTGCTCTCTCATTGGCTGTAGGTCATCACCGAAGTATTTTCAGTCAGATCTCATTTCACACAGCAGGACTTTGAATCGCCGACAGGTCCAGATATTTAGCATGCCAACTATTTCACGGGCATCTGAGACGTGTCTGCAATTCTCTCAGATCGCATCTTTGATAATTCGCACTGAGTAATTGTCACTCGCGTGAATGAGCACCGATTTGCTTCCGATTTCAGCCATTTGTCGGCGATTTCGCAAAGCCTGTCAGCGAGTGAAAATCGGGGTTAAAATCATGCAGTGTGAACTCAGTATTAGAGACTCCAAACTTTCTATGCTATGGTTAGTGATAATTCGCCCAAAAATGAAAATTCTCTCATTAATTACACACCCTCATGTCGTTTCAAACCCCTAAGACCTTCATTCATCTTCGAAACACAAATCAAGATATTTTAGATGAAATCCGAGAGCTTTCTGACCCTCCATAGACAGCAAGGGATTTACCACTGTCAAGGCACAGAAACGCAGTAAGAATATCGGACAAACAGTCCTTGTGACATCAGTGGTTCAACCGTAATTTCACAAAGCTATGAGAATATTTTTTTGTGCACAAAGAAAACAAAAATAACGACTTAATTTAACAATTCTTCTCCTCCGCGTCACCCTAGCACTATTAGCTCATGCGTCGTGGTACTTTCCGTAATGGCGCTAGGGTGTTCACAAGTATTCTCGTAGCTTCATAAAATTACGGTTGAACAACTGATGTCACAAGGACTGTTTTTCCGATATTCTTACTGCGTTTCTGTGCCTTGACCGTGCTAAATCCCTTGCTGTCTATGGAGGGTCAGAAAGCTCTCGGATTTCATTAAAGAAAATCTTAATTTGTGTTCCGAAAACGAACGAAGGTCTTACAGGTTTGGAATAATGGTGGAATAATAATAAGAAGAAGAAGACTAACATTGGCGCCAATAGCCTCGTGGGCAGTGCAACAACATACAGCACAGTTGCTCTTCGGGCGTCCCAAGTTCGAGTCCCAGCTCACGAACCTTTCCCGATCCCATCTCCCACTTCTCTTTCTGTCCTCTCTACACTGTCCTATCAAATTAAAGGCTAAAAAAATGGCATACTAAGTCATGACAGAAGAAATCATAAACAGTCAAATTAAGAAAAAAATGTGAGTTTGATGTTCTACAAAACAACTACATTATGTAAAGGGCAGTAATGGCATGCTTGTTTGCATAAAACAAATGGTAAGAAAATGTTATTAATAACATACTTCATATATATCACTGTCAAAAAAATTTATCATTTTTTAATTAAGGGACAATATTTGCCACCTCAAACAGATTTTCAGGGGCCCTTGTTTGCCTTTATGAGGGGATAAAAAATGCATACTGTGCTGTCCATTTATGTAAAGCACTAGAGATGGCTCAACAGTAGCTGTAAATAATACATATAACTAGGAAAGCAGAATGATTAAATATATTAAAAAGCTAAACATTTGCTTTGGCTTTGTTTTGTTTTAGGGCTGTTAGAGGACCACCCCTTGCTATAGCAAGACCTAATGACATTTCATGTGTTGTAATATTGTTCAGTAATGAGCCATCATAGTTTATGTGGTCTCATTACTGGAGACTTCCAGCTATTGTTGGAAGAGTTCAGTGTATCTTTTGAAGCATGTGCATAAAGTTAGTATGCACTGCCTGAGAAAGTGACCAATCAGAGACATTATGAGGTCTCTTCAGAGGTATTCAGTCATTATATAATCTCTGTTGAATTGAACTCTTCAGGCTTAAGTGTACACTAGAGTAATGGTGATTTTTTTTTGTGGAGAATGGTGTCGTAACTTTTGTGTTAGGCCAATTTAAGTCAAAGTCCAGGGTCATCTTACCCTCACAGTCTGTAGAGGAAAATTTCAAGCAGAGTTGTTCAAAGATTGTTTTAAAAACCGTAAATGTCACATGTGCAATGTCTTTAACTGTCTGTTTTTGTCTGTATTTACACACCAGTGGAATGTCTTGACAAATGCGTTTTGTAATCATTTTGATTCTCTGTATATTATACCTTAAGGAATATATTTCATCAATCTTCTGTATTTTCAAGTCAGATTCTCTAGCATATGAAAATGTTACTGTTTTAAAAATCTGTATTGCTGGTCTGTGGTTAACAGACAGTACATATGCATTGTGTTTCAGGGGCCGGGCTCCTGTCCTCCACAAACATTCCCTTGTTTTTGGCAAATATAAACCCAGCAGTTTCCCCATTGCTTCTTTGATATGCCATTAGCTTTGTGTTCCTCACTTTTCCATACAACATAAGAGGTGTTTGAACTTTCAGCATGACTCTGGCATTAGCACTTTTGCTTTGTATGTTTTTGGGGACACATGGTTTCAACACACAGCTTGTTATTGAACCTCAGCCCAACTTTGATGTGGAGAAAGTGAGTATGAGTTTTTAGTTGTTTGAGTTGTGCTTTAATAGATTTTGGGGGTAAGTAGTTTAAGCATTGAATGAATGTTTTTGATTTAACAGCAGAGGCATTTCAAGTGAATCTGTATGTTTATATAGCATTTGTTCAAAAGTTCAAATTCAAAAGCAAACAGTGAAGAGGCGGACATCAGTTTCTCACATCACCATAGTTTACTTAAAGAACAGATCATGGTTCATCAACTTTTATTTCTACACAAGAATGCGAATCAAAGTTTTTCAATATTAAACAGATGCAGTGATCTTAAAACTATTCATAATTCCTGCTTTAATTGGTAATATGAGTAAGCTGTTTTCACAGAAAAAACAAAATAAAGGTTGAGTTACATGTGTCAGCTTCTCTTTGTGCCACATTACATTTTGTTACAAAATATGAAACCATTTCTAGTTCTCAGTAACACAATAAAGTCCCGTTAGTTAACGTTATGCATTAACTAACATTAACAATGAGCATTTATTACAGCATTTATTAATCATTGTACAACTGTTCATTGATAGTTCATGTTAGCTCAGGTCCATTAAATAATATTGACAGATATAACTTTTGGTTTTAATGGTTTAAATTATTTTTCAATGTTAGTTCATGGTTAACTTATGTCGTTAACTAATGTTAACAAATTGTGAAATGACTGCAGATTCTTTTTCAAACCATTGTATTTTTTTTTCAATAACAGTACATAATTAACAAAACACTTGATACTACAGAACCCTTGGGGGCCTTTAGTAAACTGCTTACCATCTTTACTACATTTCCTGTCAGTTCCTTCTAGTACCAGATGCCAATGGATATGTGAATCTGACCATGTGGAGCATAAGGTGCAGAACTCTGGATAGGATATTGTTCCATATTTACATTTTCACACCAACTCGAATAACAAAAGGGGGAACATATTGTGATGGGAAAATACATTTAACCAAAAGATTTGAGCTCTGTACTAACATTCTGTATTAGGGATGCACGATATATCGGCCACCATATCGGTATCGGCCGATAAATGCTAATTTTTTCTGTTATCGGTATCGGCCTGATAAGAAAATTTGGCCGATATCTTAAAGCCGATAAATAATGCATTATTTCCTTCAGAGACACTTCAGATGCGCGCTGTTCGTTTGCAGCCTTTTGTGCAATTGTACGTTGTAATATTGTGTTTATTTGATGTATATCTGATTTATCTCATATAGAATGCGTTTGGTTAAGTTAAAAGAGCGCTTCAGTTTACCGGTGATCATCTTTAGCTCAGCGCACGCAGCTCAAACAGCAGTGCACAACATTAATAACTATGATTGGGAATGTTGTGTATATAACATTATATACAATTCTGTTTTATTGATCTGTGGCGCATTCATTTTGATTCTTTACACGTGTAATGATGTCCAGTGAATTGTTTGCATTATTTATGCATTATTTTATTTATTTGTAAGACTTTTTTATGACAAAATTTGGTAATTGGAGAGTAAAAATATTTTTAAAACGTACACCGTTCAAACTAGGCTGCTTATGTTGAAGTGTTTGGGATGTGGCTTTTAATGATGAGACTTTTTTTGTAATCAGGCTCTCAAAAAGTATATAACAATTTGGATATAGATTTATCGCCCAACATATCGGTTATCGGCTTTCAAAAATAAAGAATAATCGGTTATCGGTATCGGCCAAAATTTTCATATCGGTGCATCCCTATTCTGTATATATTTAAACTAACAGACCATATGGATGCTCCATCAGTGTTTATTCATATGAGAAGACAGATGTTCCTGGAGAATTCACTTACTTCAGCAAAAGTAAGCTCTCATTTCCTCTCTCAAACATCTTTGTGATCACTTCTTATAAAATGTTTTCTTTATTCACACTAAGAACTGTTTGAAATGTGAGATTTGACATTAGCAAATGTCAAAAACTTTCAAATGCATTTAAGTCCATTGCACTCTTTCATCAGACCTACAAGAAAAATAAGAGATTACTTCTCACTTATTATATATACAGAATATTAAGTAGAATGTAGTGCGAACAGAACTGAATTCACGTACACTGAAAAAAAGTGAACCTGTGATTGTTACCTTATCTAATGAAGGATTTAGCCTGTATATACTTAGTCATTTACTTCTTTTACTATAAACTCCTTTTATGACAGGTACACAAACATAAACATATCAGACCAATCCCTTAACTTTAAATGAATAACATGATATGTCTGACTTTTTGTCATTTTAAGGGCACAAGATAATAAAAGACATCACAATAGTGGAGACCAATTACACTGATTATAGTTTGGTCCTTAAATACAAGAACATGCACAAAGAATACACTCAAGTAGCTCTTTACGGTAAGTTTACACTGATAAATTATATGACTTGTGTTTGACATATTAATGAAGCATAATAATTTGTCAGAGACATTCTCCTAGGACGGTCATCCATACAAAGGCCGGAACTAATAGAGAAGTTCAGATCTTTTGCTTTATCTCTGGGCTTTTCTGACGAGGCCATTGTCATTGCAGCAGATGTTGGTAAGTTTGCATATGATATAATGAACAAAAACTTTATTTCAGACTCCCACGTTGCAAAAGAGCAGGAATAAACTGCACTTAGGCTAATGTTTAATGTTTATGTGACCTTAAATAGGGCCTGTAAAGTTTGCTGAATAAACAAAAAAAACATGCACACACAGAACAAGCGCATGAATAGTTTACCCAAAAATGAAAACTTCTGATATTCACTCACCCTCAGGCTATCCAAGATATAGATGAGTGGCTTTATTTATTGGAACATATTTGGAGAAATTTAGTGGATCCTCTGGAGTGAATGGGTGCCGTCAGAATGAGAGTCAAAACAGGTGATAAAAACTTTCACAATAATCCACAAGTAATCCACACGACTTAAATCCATCAATTAACATCTTGTGAAGTGAAAAGCTGCATGTTCTGCACTCTGATGGCATCCATTTACTGCAGAGGATCCACTGGTGGGCAAGTTATGCAATACTATATTTCTTAAAATCTGTTCTGATGAAGAAACAACCTCCGCTACATCTTTGATGACTTGAGTAAATTTTCAGGGATCAGATTAACAGGGATCTTTTCAGGGATTCAAATTAACAGGGATCATTTTGAGTTGTTGATTTACATTTTTACATTATATAACTATATGTAAATGCACAGATTTTTCATGCATTTGTTTACTTTTATGTTTTTTAGATCCCTGCCCTATTCTAGAACCAAGGTATGGATTTATCACTTCATCTAAGATATGAGAGGCTGGGGTTAACTGTCTGTATTGCAATCATTTAACCTTTCCACCATTATTATTAAGAAAGAACAAATAGGTAATTTAATTATATATAACCTGTGTATTAGTGACAGAATTTACAGTGAATCATACAACTACATAATTTAGCCAGTAGGCGGTGACAGTCTGTATGAGTGAGTCAGTGAATCAAACAATTTGTTCAAACATACCGATTCATTCAGTAAAGAGAACCTTTTTGTCTTGCTCGGAGACACAATGGTTGATCCTGCTGTGGTTCCCCATCGAAAGGTAACTCTCGTTGCGTCATCGTTTTGACGACTTGTATGGGGAAACTCCTGTTTACTCTGTTACTGAAACCTGATTTGTTAACATTTGTGTAGCTGCACAAAACAATGGTGCTCGAGCCCGCCAGAAGGGGTGGAGCCAACTGCTATATAAGTCGGCCCAGTGCGCCATTTCATCAGAATCTTCTCCTTCAGCGACAAGACCATCTCTTCGCTGACTCTGCGCCAAAGCCGAAGCTAGAAGCTCAACCTGCTCTACGCTGCCGCCGTTGAAGCCAGCCACCGGCAGTGGACTATTTCTCCTGTGGCCATCCGGCGAAGGACTAAGAGCAAATTTCCTGAGCAAATTTCCTAAGCGCTTTGTTTCAAATGTCGCTTCGCAAGTGCAGCAGATGGTCACGAGTGTGTCGCAAGTCTTGGATTGGCCCACGCAGAGGCTGCACTCACCGAGGCTTTGTGTTCTTACTGCGAGGACATACTTACTGCCCGTCTTTGTTTGCGGATTGCCTTTTTCCATGAAGGCGGTCCTCCCCGCTCAGTTCCCCCAACTCCTCTCTCTCCCAAAAGAAGGAAACAGTGGAACAGCAGGTCTCCTCTCTCGGGCACGAGTGTTGTTGTGTTGGCCCAGCGCCCGCGCACTTCACTCTCCCCGCAGTGCCTCATGTCGCCCGTGTGTTTCGCATGTGAGGACCAGCACCCCTCATCGGACACGAGCGGCCTGGTTTCCTTCGGCACTTCTGAGGAAGAGATAGCCATCGACGACTCCATGTCCTTGACAGCATCTGATGCTGACGAGTGGGCATGTTCCGGCGAAGAGCCCGAAGCTCCCCCTCCATCTCAGTCTACGCGGCCTAGCGTAGACTCGGAGCTGATCCGTGTTCTCACGCGTGCTGTGGAGGAACTAGGCCTCGCGTGATCAGTACGGTTGGGTATCGTTTGGGTTTTTTCGATACCGGTGCCAAATCGATACTTTTAACACCGTTCCGATGCCTGAACCGATACTTATTAAAAAAATAATAATAAATTGCCCAAAACATGATGGATTGGCCATTAACACTATAAACACATGATGTCTGTTTCATTCATACTGGACACCAGAGGGCGCCCTTGCACAGAAAATCCACATATCCAGTCACAGAAGTAGCAGAACTCATGACCTTCCAGGAAATCCCTAATATGGATAAAGACATCGCTATTATAGCTGTAACTGAGTAAACAGAGCATATAAACCTTTTGAATGATAAAACAAATACAATAATCACTCGACTGAGACAATATAGTTTATCTGTGTTATTCAAGCCATCTCTGGTATTTTCATAATAATTAAGTATATTTATAATCCATTGCTAATCGATGTATTCTTTTTAAAGTAGCCTATGGAACATATTTTCTCTCTTATTCTGTGACAAGAAGCCACATCAGATCACAAAAGGAAGCATTTGACTGGTGCTGTGGATTACAAAGTTTATAACGTTCTCTTTTGTTGGACAACAAGTTTAGAAATGTGAATACAAGAGAAGTTTAGCTTTAGGCATTTTAATTTAAGCATGTTTAGCTTAGTTAACGGAAGGCTACCTGCTGCCATCATAGCAAGTGTAATTACTGCATTCACGCGCTCCTCGGATGCTCTCATGTCCCGAGTTGTGCTTTTAAGTCACAATGTGAAAACAACATGGACACTCGTGTTACTACAAAGATTTGTTAGATTTTTATTATTAGAGCTTTCCAACCTGAGTTCACGTGCATTTTCTCAGTCGGGAAATTATTTTTCACGTGCGGTGCCAGTGATGATGCTTCTTACATCCATTTCGGAGAATCATAGGACAAATATTTCAATCGATCACTCAGGCATGGCACCGAAATCTGCGTTCTGATTCGGTTCTAGTACATACCGGTTACATAGGTACCGGTGCCATATTGGTACCGGGTTTCAGTACCCAACCCTAGTGGTCATCGTCAGCCTTCCTTCCATCAGCGTCCAGCTCCTTTTATGCCTGCAGTCCACGAAGAGCTCACTAAAACATGGCGAGCTCCTTATTCGGCGCATGTGAACCCCTCTACTGCAGCGGCACTCACCACCGTTGACGGCGCTGATGAAAAGGGGTATTGCAAGCTCCCTGGCTGGGATCAGGGCACCTTCACGGAGTTGCGTACAGTGACAGATCTGGCCCTGCGCTCTACCAAGGCGACGACGCCGGCAGTAGGCAAGGCCATGGCTAGTCTTGTGGTGCTGGAGCGCCACCTTTGGCTAAACTTGACGGACATCAGGGACGCAGAAAAAAATTGCCTTCCTCAATTCCCTGGTCTTGCCTAAGGGACTCGGCTTGGGCTTCAACAGCACCCCCTAACGGCCAGGAAGTATCCCTTCCCCACCCTAGCGTAGTGCTGGAGTTTTTTAACAGGGCACATCCTGCCAGTTCAGCGTGTGCCCCAAACTACCACTTTGATAGCGGACCCAAATACAATAAAGAGCATTTCTCCTCTCCCTGCACTCACACATGTCAGTTCTTTCCCTTCCGGCGGCATGCTGTCATTAATAAACATAAAAACATTTGCGAATGTCAGCTCTCCCCCTTTGGGCAGCGGGCTGCCTTCGATAAAAATGTTCACAAATGCCAGTTCTCACCCTTCGGGCAGCGACATGTCATTAATAAAAATAGAACATCTTGCCGCCCCGGCTACTGGATTGGAGAGCCACTCCTGGCATGTCAGATTGGCTTCTAAAAACCATAGAACGAGGCTACTCGCTCCAGTTCGCTCGCAGGTCACCTGTATTCAGAGGTATTGTGCAGACTTTGGTGCAGGACAACGAATCAGATGTTCTCCGAGCTGAAGTGAAAACACTGCTTGCAAAGGGTGCCATGGAAACGGTCCCCTTAGCGTACAGCGAGTCAGGCTTTTACAGCCGATACTTCCTCGTTCCCAAGAAAGACGGCGGGCTCAGACCAATTCTCGATCTCAGACGTCTGAATCAGGCTCTCATGCAACAGCCGTTCAGAATGTTAACTTTGAAACAGATCCTCATGCAAATAGGGCCAGAGAGCTGGTTTCTGTCTGTGGATCTGAAAGATGTTTACTTTCATATCCAAATACCGCCCCGTCACAGACCGTTCTTGAGATTCGCTTTCAAGGGGGTGGCCTACCAGTACACGGTCCTTCCGTTTGGACTGGCCCTGGCCCCCAGCACTTTTACAAAGTGCGTCGACGCAGCTCTTTCCCCTCTGAGACAGATGGGAATCCTCATACTGAACTACCTCGACGACTGGCTAGTGCTAGCCGACTCAGAACGGAGATTGATCGCTCACAGGTCATTGTTGCTCAACCACCTAGAGCGTCTTGTGTTGAAAATCAACCAGGCCAAGAGTTTTCTGATTCCCAGACAACAAGCGTCCTTTCTGGGAACAGTCATAGACTCTGTTCAAATGCGAGCTTGGATTACACCAGAATGCTCCCTGACTATACAGTGAGCGGCGGCGTCTTTCAAGCTGGGGACTTTGCGTCCCCTCAAAGCATTTCAGAGGATGCTCGGCCTCCTCAGTTATTCCCTTGGGCCTGCTACACATACAGCCCCTTCAATATTGGCTAAAAACCTGCATTCCGTCCTACGCCTTGTGCCTGGACCTCGCTTATGTCAAGGTAACCCATCGCTGCCTCAAAGCTGTGGTCCCTTTGACAACTCCTCGCTTGTTTCAATCAGGCGTACAGTTGGGAATGACCTCCAGAAGGAAGGTCGTCACAACAGATGCCTCCAGCTCAGGCTGGGGCACTCTGTACGAGGGCAACCCGGCGTATGACTTCTGTTCGACCCACGAGTGATGTCTGCATATCAACTGCCTCGAAATGATGGCTGTTTGTCTGGTCCTAAAGACCTTCCTGACAGCCTTCACCTCCGAAGACAACTACTGCACAACCTATTTTTCAAAGCAGCGGGATGCTCTGGCCCATGATTGGCCCAACACCCATCTGTATGCCTTCCCTCCGGTCGCCCTGCTACCCAAGGTTATCAGGCAAGTCAGGGAAACGAAATGCTCTCTCCTCCTCATCGCCCCTCTCTGGAGGAACCAAGTTTGGTTTCCAAAGATGATCCAGCTGCTGTCTGCAGCACCGTATCTGACCGTATCAACGGCTGATATCACTGAGGAAAGACCTTCTCTCGCAAGTGCAGGGCATGATTTGGCATCCCCAACCGGAACTGAGGAGCCTTCATGCCTGTCCGCTCGATGGGAGCCTAGCCAGCTCCCAACGAGAGTTACTAATACCATTTTAGAGGCTAGAGCTCTGTCTACGAGGCGCCTCTACGCTCTTAAGTGGTCAGTCTTCAGTGACTGGTGATCAGCACAAAGTCAGGATCCGATTTCATGTGACGTGTCCCACGTCCTGACTTTTCTACAGGAGCTGTTGGATAAGGGGCGCACTTCTTCCACGCTCAAAGTCTATGTGGCAGCCATCGCGGCAAATCATTCTCTCAAGGCTGGCCAGACTATTGGCAGAAACGACTTGGTCATTAAATTCCTTAGAGGTGCTCGGCGGTTGAATCCTCCTCGCTCTAAGACTATGCCAGCTTGGGACTTGTCTATAGTCCTGGGGGCCCTCAAGGGCCCTCCCTTTGAGCCGCTTCAAACAGCCGGCTTAAGGGTCATGACGCTCAAAACCGCCTTGTTTTTGGCCCTAGCGTCCGTCAAGCGAGTAGGTGACTTGCAAACTCTGTCTGTCAGTGCTGTCAGTGCTGCAGTTCCTGTCTTGAATTTGGACCCAATGACTGTAAAGTCATTCTCCAACTCCGCAGCGGTTATGTACCGAAGGTGCTCTCAACTCCGTTTAACTCCAGGTCATTTCCCTTTTGGCCCTCCCCGTAGAGGATGGCGAACAGGGCCCCAACTTGTTGTGCCCAGTCCGGGCATGCACTGCGGGTTTACTTTGAGCACTCTAAGTCTTTTAGGAAAACAGAGCAGCTCTTTGTGTGCTTTGGAGGCTAAAGGGCTAAAGGACTGCCGGTCACAAAGACTATCTCACTGGATTGTAGATGCTATAGCCCTGGCTTATGCCTCAGCGGGCGTGCAATGCCCTATAGGTGTGAGGGCCCATTCTACCAGAGGAATGGCCTCCTCCTAGGCCTGGTCCAGTGGAATCTCTATTGGGGAGATTTGTGTGGCCGCCGGATGGTCGTCGTGTCTACTTTTATTAGATTCTACAGTTTGGATGTTCCTGCCTTGCAGACACAGGTTTTATCTGCTTAATGTTACATTTCCCCCCCTTCGGGCAGGCAGGGTTATATCAAGTAGACCTCAGAATGTTCTCGGGTCTCTTTATGGCTCAGGCTTATGGGGTCCTCGCTGTGTGTTCCTGGCTGGGCTCGCGGAGCAGGCTTAGTTCTGCATCTTCTTATTGTCACTGTAGGATGGGAGATGGCGACCTCTGGTGGTGAGAGGGAGAACACCAGACGCCAGCCCCTGACACTTATAGCACGGCGTTACTGGATGCATTCCCCATACAAGTCATCAAAACGGTGACGCAACGGGAGTTACTTTTCAATAGGAAATGCTCCGATTACTCACGTAACCTTGGTTCCCTGAAATAAGGGAACGAGCGTTGTGTAACTGGCCATGCTATAGCTGCACCCGAATAGATGGCTGTCGCTTCAGTCACTGATTCTGATGAAATGGCGCTCTGGGCCGACTTATATAGCAGTCGGCTCTGCCCCTTCTTGCGGGCTCGAGCGCCGTTGGTTTGTGCAGCTACACAAACGTTAAAGGGGTCATATGATGCTTTTTTAATTAATTAACAAAATTATTATTTTGTGTATTTGGTGTAACAGAATATGTTGACATGCTTTAAGCCTTAAGGGGGCATGGCAAAGTCTTAACTTTGATAAAGAATATCTCTTTGGTTTTGAGACTTTAGTCTTTGCAACTTCAGGGATCTTATCTATGCACAATCAGCTTGTAACTCCAAAGAGAAAGGAAAACCTGAAATCGCATCATATGACCCCTTTAACAAATCAGGCTTCAGTAACAGAGTAAACAGGAGTTTCCCCATACAAGTCATCAAAACAACGACGCAACGCTCGTTCCCTTATCTCAGGAAACCGAGGTTAGCTGAGTAACCAGAGCGATTTGTTTGGAAGGTGAAACTATTCTCGTTGGTCGAGCAAAAAACGTATACAGCAAAACTAATAGGCCTATCACACTCGCAATCAGTCATAGAACACCATGTTTTGAACAAACATACAAAACCACAAAAAGAGAGATAATAAACGTATTTTCTATACATAAAATCACTACTGAGATATAGCCCTTGTGACAACTTGCTCCAGTCTCTACATTGCTAAAATTCATGGGTCTATGTGACATTGTTGTTGTAAAACCCATAATAAGCCTCGTTTTATCAAATGTAAAGTATATACACCACTGTTCACTCATCTGCAGGAATACAGCAGAATTCAGAGAGGAGAAATCTTCACAATCTCCTAAACAATCAGTCTTTGGCACCGAGAATCTTTCCCAAGTGTGACAGGATGTTTTTATTCGGTAACTCACTCTAACTTTATAACTAACTGTATACTTTCACCATCTTTCAGCCAGCCGTGGATTCAGACCTTGGGTTACATATATACTGTTTTGTTACACATTTGGGGAAAAGTGTCTGTTTTAACCCAAACAATCATTGGAGAAATGCAACACTATAACATCGTCAATGTAACGCAGTTGTATTACGTTCGTAAAGCCAGCAGGTGGCGCAGTTGTAACAGGACACAAACAGCCAGCATCTCATAATCTAGTGTTCCACCTGACACAAACAGTGCTAACAATAATGATGTATCTCACATGTGTTACTGTAGTTGCTTGCCTAATGTTTACAGAACAAGTGTGTCAAATCTTTGTGATCATTATACAACGACTGTATTTTCAAAATGAGTAGGCTAATAAAAGTTTGTTGTTGTTTTTTCAATTAAACAATACATATAGGCTTATTTTGAAATGTCATGATTTCATATGTTGCAAAACAAATAAGCAAATTATAAATTTGTGTTTATGTATAACTACACTACCATTCAAAGGTTTAGATTGTCTCTAATGCTCAACAAGGCTGCATTTATTTGATTAAAAAATACAACAGTAATGTTGGGGAATATTATTACAATTTAAAATAAAAATTAAATTAATAAAATATTTTTATTATTTAAAGCAACTGCTTTCTATTTGAATATATTTTAAAATGTAATTTAGTCCTGTGATTTCAAAGCTGAATTTTTTGCATAATTTCTCCAGTCAAACATGATCCTTCAGAAATCATTATAATATTGTGATTTGCTGCTCAAAAAACATTTATTATTATTATTATTATTATGTTGAAAACAGCTGAGAAGAATTTTCCAGGTTTCTTTTGATGTATAGAAAGTTCAGAAGAACAGCATTTATCTGAAATAGAAATCTTTATATGTAACATTATAAATGCCTTTATCATCACTTTTGATCAATTTAAAGCATTAATTTCTATAATTTCTTATGATATAAGATAAGATACCCCCCCCCCCTTCTTGAACCACAAATCAGCATATTAGAATGATTTCTGGATCATGAGACACTGAAGACTGGAGTAATGATGCTGAACATGTAGCTTTGATCACAGGAATAAATTACATTTTAAAATATATTCAAATACAAAGCTATTTTAAACAACATACTTATTCAGACCTATACTGCACTAAAATACATAAAAGAATAAGTAATCATACATTTTATTATATTTTAAATGATAAAAAAACGTCTTGCTGCAAAATGGGTAAAAACTAGTGGTTTGAAGGATAGTAGCAAAGATTGGTAAAGATATAAAAGGACAATTAATCAGTATTTTGGGGCTGCACTGTGATCCTTAAATCATTGTCATTGTCATAATGAATTCTTGTTCTAAATATGCCTGACAAGATTTTTTGGTAGAATGACATTTTTTCTGTAAATCGTGGTAAAAATGTATGATAGCCATTATTTATTTATTTATGCATTATTCATTAAGTAACATGACACATTCTAATGTACAAACAATTAAAGTTGTATGAAACTTTAGTTGTTTTGATGCTTGAAACCTTAGTTTTTGACCTATATATGCCACCAAATTGGTCAAAAATGCCCCTGCATGCCCCCCAAACAATGTGGAATCACATTTAGACCTGCTCATATCACATCTTATTTGTTTTGTTTTTTACCTGCTTTAAAGCGTTGCGCATTTTAACCAATCCCACACAATTCTGCTGATGGTTATGTTGGTTAACATTGTGTCATATCATATTGTAAAGTGAAGCCAATTAATCAGTCATTCAATTAGCAAATCAATCAATCAATTGTGTTTCCTGAAAAGCATTCCTCCACTATCATCACTTGTCAGTGACAAATGATGGGTGGTTTAGTTTGGGCCATTGGTATGTCACCATAAACCCCTCTTTGGGGACCCCTCTGTCCCTTTCTACTCCTTCCTCCCCTTTCCATGTCCCTCCCCCACTCTTCACTTTCACCCAATTACCCCCTCCCTCCCCTTCAGACTGCTCCCCAACCCCTTTTACGGAGTGCCATTATGCTGCGGTGGGTGAAGGGAAGAGGGGGATAACAATGAAGATAAAGAAAGCATGCGGTTAGAGGCTTGTGAATGGCTCCATTCAGCAAAGCCAGCCAAACAGAAAAGCAGCTCTGCTCTCCCAAACCCAGAAGTTTCACTTAGTATAACTGGGTCTTTATCCTCCATAATTACTCGCTAGCATATACATGTGTGCATACATGCACAAGCAGGCGCAGTTACTGTAGCACACACATGCAGCAAACCATACAGTATATCAGTAAATGGTTAATGTCGTAGTGCGACGGACGTTAATTTAATGTCATTATAATAATGTAATTTAACATTTCACACCATTTATATATTTATATTTATTTTATTGCTTATATAGAGCAAAATACAAATAATTTACCTCTTCTGTAAACTTTTTATCACTTCCATAACACTTTAAGAGATATTTTAGCCAATTCTGTAATCATTTTCTATCTATCATGTAATTCCAAACATAAATGAACACAAAAAGAGGTATTTCGATAAATTACCGAGTGAACCGTTCCTTTAAAACTGAGCAATAGATCCTAATTTGTTAAAGCCTCATCGATTCGCAGTTTCCAGAGAGGACAAAATGTTGGGTTTTGAATGATATGAGGGCAATAAAAGATAACAGAATCTTTTTTTGAGTGAACCGTTCCTTTAAAACTGAGCAATAGATCCTAATTTGTTAAAGCCTCATCGATGATCTTGAGATTTTCTTTCAAAGAATAGCCTATTTCTGAAAATATTATGACCCTAAATCTGTCCCTGAAGTTCAAAATATGGCTGTAACTTGACAAGAAGGGTTACATTTTTGCGTAAACAATTTTTTAAGGGTGCATAACCTCAAAACAATCTAAAAACCAGGCTGAAATGCATTTGTGCCAAAGCAGAATCTTTGACATTAAATGATATATGTGATTTTACACGTATACTTTTCTCACCAAATCACTTTGGTGTGTAAGGAGCGTATGTTTGACTAACGCTGCAAAGCACTCAGGCAGACATATTTCTGCATGGTTTAAAGATACTTAAATGAAACATTTTTGTCTGGGTGCCGTTCATGAAATCTATCGCTTCACTCATGGCCTCTCCGCCTGTTACCTCACAGATGTGTAACCCCATCTGAGTGTGTCTGCACTTATTAATCAAAACGAAACACTCAGGCGCACACACACACACACACACACACACACACTTTGGGGCTGAGCTGTGTGTCAGTATTTGGAGAAAGGAGGCTCCATATGGGCAATCCTGCATCTCTTTTCTGTGCTGGCAGCCAGGCAGATGTCACATGGTCTAACAGGTCACAGTGCACAGACATAAGACGAATAGCTCTGCAGTACAGACTGCATGGGGCCCCTCATCCGTCTGCCAGCACAGTCCCCCAGTTCACCCCACTCCCCACCACACACACACTATACACATGCATATTACATGCTAGTTTTGTTATAATTTACCACTTCATAGTTCCTATATTTGCCAATATTAATACAATATTTTATATTCTTGTTCTTATAAGGTGATCCAGTTTTTTGCTCTTATTTTATTTTGTATTGTTTGTGAGTGCATAATAAAAAGGCAAACAAGGTCTTGGAGCCAAATCACTGAAATATAATGGGTTATATTTCAATATATAATAGATACGGCATGCATGGTCATAAAAAGGTATTTCAGCTATAATTTAAAATGTAGTCAGTTTAATAAGAAAATGTCAAACAGTGTCATTTAATTCTTAAATATATTTATATTAATGATAGTAAGAATACTTTTCAAGCAAAACATTTTGCAAAAATTATTAAATATAAAACAAAACATATATTTTTTTTATATGTAAACATATTTACATATTTATGGCAGTTGACATGAAATGCTTTTGAGAAGATGGCCTTTGACATGCTATATTCTAAATTAATTAATATTTGCTAATAATAAGCATGCATAACTAGATTATGCATGCACATATTATGATCTCAATAAATGAGAGACTACATGGAATTTTTGTGCTTTTAACTCTATAACAAAGAATTTAAATGAAAATCAACCAATAAATTATTAATTTAATTTTAATTGTTTTATAAATTGTACAAATAATAAAAAAAGTAGTGACCAGTCACAGTCCCTACACATTATTATTTTATTTATTTTAATTTAACACATTATCTATCTATCTATCTATCTATCATCCATCCATCCCTCTCTCTTTATACGTTCATTAATTTTACCCTGATGTTTAAGAAAAGGAAAAGAGAGAAAAATGTTCATGTAATGCATCAACTACCCTATAACACTTTCTGATTGATGTGGGATTATAAGAATATTTTCATAGTTAAGTTACTGATCTTTATCCTGCGGGTACTCTGCAAGGACAATTGTTTGGCTTCTTCATATATCTGCTCAAATCACCTAGAGGCTAAAGGTTATTACAATAAAATGGCTGTGAAAAGTGAAGTTTTGAGAAAAATCTTGCTCGGTTACTTGAAAACACCACTTGCTCTCATTATCTAATACAATAAAATCTCCCTGTGAATCACCGCTGTCTATGTACTATGCAATTCAAGCACAGAGTTTAAAAATGCACACAACTGCACATTGAGGCAAACACGCATGCAAGTGCGTACACATAAACACCCAGCTTTCTCAGGCCTGAAGGGCTGGATCAGGGTTACTTTACACACCTTTAAACATCCCTTTTCAGGGCATGGTGTGAAACGGATTTGAATGAGAAAGAGAAGGTCAGGAGAGGAGGTGTGGAGGCTAGGGGAGGGAAAGGACGAAGGAAACAGGGTGGGAAACTGACAGGAGGGAAGAAGAAAAGGAGGTAGACTGATTTTACATTTGTAAAAAAAAACAAAAAAAACAGGGCCACCGGTTATTGAGTTGCTTGAGAAGGATCTCCCTTTCTCTTTGTGTGCTCTCCAGCCTTCTCCCTTGCTTGTCCCCTCTCTCATTACCATAGCAGCTGCAGAGCTGTGTGTGTGTGTGTGTGTGTGTGTGTGTGTGTGTGTGTGTGTGAGAAGGGAGGGGGTCCGGGTCGGGCAGTGTGACTTAGGCAGGGGCTCCCGTCAATGGTGGGCCGTCTGGGGAAGAATGAATAGAGGCGCACAGAGTTGAACTGGACGAACAAAAGAGAAGAGGAGAGAAGAATGGGTGAGTGAATTGGGCGGCTTGTCACTGCGAGCTATAGCACACAAAATGAGTGAAATAGTGAAAGAAAGTTAAAAGGAGCAGAGGGCATGCAAGGATTGGCCTGGCCACCTGTCTCTCTCACTATCTGTCTTTTGCCCCTTCTGTCAATGGAGAGACTAAAAGTTGGAAGCATGCATGAGAGTGTGATTTGGGCAGAAAAATGCATTGTA